AGGGGGGGGGGGGGGGGGGGGGGAGCACGAAATTCAATGTTGAATTAGCTCAAGGAAGGTCTTAGGCAATAATATAATAATGAGATCCTACTTAAGGAGAAACAAACCATAGGGGAACACACTGAAACCCGTTCGAGAGGCTATCCACTCCCACCCAGATCTCCCACTGATACATGGCGGTGGCCAATGATAGCGATGCTGGGCACCAATAAGAGTTGGGGGCGGTACAGAACAGGCTTATCCATAGATTTGCTGCAAAACATGGGCAAAAGAGTCTATTGAAGCCTTCATCTAGTATTTCCACTTGTAGCCATTCATTTTCCTACCACATCATATCACATTTCCCACCATTACTGCAGCCACACTCTGGCCAGTGTGACTGCAATCCAAACGTCTCAGCCACCACCGTCACCGATCATATTTCTGCAGCCCATCGCAATGATACAGCGTGATACGATGAGTCAATTGACGTCCCAACTGGATCATAAATTCTATTGGTAAAATGGAAAAATGCAAACAGGGTGGCTTTGGAGGAGGTGTGGTAGAGGGAAGGGGAAAGTTGAGGTTATGGAATAAGCTCATAGGGGGTCAAAATCAGAATGAAGGCTGATGATTAGGAGAGATTATGGATACATAGCAGCAGCGCACGAAACGTGGCCTACCTCTTAAATCTCAGGAAGGAACAAGAAGCTTTTAGGAATCAAATCGAGGCTAAACAGACTAATGCAGTGGGTTGAAACAGAGTAGAGATCAAAGTTACTCTAAGTTACTGCTAACGTCTTCTAGTAATACCGAGTTTTATGTAATACGCACACCTGTTCAGTCAAAGAAAAGCAAATTTGATGAAGTGCACGAAAGGGCAAGTAACCTAAAAGCCCTACAAGAAATCGTATATAAAGGGAGAACTGCATCAAATGGCCCTCTGAAAAACCCACTCACACATAGTGATCTTTAGCAAATGTGGAACGGGTTTAATGGCCAGAAAATGAGGATCATGCGCTGATGGAAGGCAGAACCTGCGCCGGTTCGCTCCATTTAATGGGGCCAGAACCGCCCTCGCCCTAGTGGTAATCCTTTTTTGAGCGGCGCTGCAGAGATGTTGGATGAATCACGGAACCGACTACAAAGGTCTTCGTGAGCACAAATATATAACAAAAACTTGTAAAAACAAACTATGCTTTACAATTTCGAGATGTCATACGATATGCCTCTTGAGAACAAAGGAAATATGAATGTACCCAAGGCTGCGAGACTGTATTTACCAGGAAAGAATGTTCTAGGAAATCTCACTGTAGGCTTTGATCCGATGTAGTCAATGTTACCTCATTTCAAAGAGCTATGCAGGTTGACTTTTGCGATTACTCATTCGGTAACTAGTAAATCAGGAGCTTATCTCAGGTGAGGCTGAAGATATAAAGATGGGTTCTCACATACCGAAACCCTTGAACTTTCTTCAAATTTCACAAAGCGAATAGATAGAGTAGTTACCTGCAAACTGATGCCTCTAGCGGCTTAGGAACGCATATTCGAAATATCAAATATTGGAGATGAAATATTAAATATAAATTAAGAGATGGAAAAAAAGAAATAAAAAAGTAGAAATAAAAAATGAAAATAATATCGGTAGAGAGAAGAAATAAAAGTAGAAATATAAATAAAGTATATAAAAAAATAAATACAGAAGTATTCGAGTTCAGTAATGCAACGCTAATTAGAAGTCATTCATGACAAAAAGTTTCAGCAAGGTGCTCTCACCTACATTTCTATTCACTAGACGATTGGTTTTAGGTTTTTGAATTTGTAATTAAATTATGCGAGCTGCTAGGTTACTTATAGGCGATCAAAGGTTGGGTGGTGTTTGAGTAACGGGCGGGAAGTATAAATAAAAGGCGGAACTGTCTGGTGCCGCGCAACTCCCCATTGGTGCCTGAATGCCTTCTAAACACCCAAGTGGAGAAGCGTGGAGGTGAAAACGTTGGTATTCAGAATGCGATCAATTTATATCAGAAGAAATGAGATCATGACAGCTTTGTAAACAAATTAGGAATACATTTGCTCCAAAAAGGGAGACTGTATAGCCCAATCCCGCGATACTCCTCAGCGGAAAACGACTTTTTTTTTCTGCTTTCGTCAGCACTCTCTTAGAAAAATGGCGTTTAACGATTATTGTGGTATGAATTCGATTCAATAGCAGTGCAAAGAAACATGTTGCTAACCAGTTTCTGAGATTTCACTCAAAAAGTCCACTTCAGAGAACTTACGGTTTTCCATCGTTTTTGATTTCATCGACATGACAGGGAGCCTCTTATGAGAAGAGAAAATTCAACACCTTTTTTTCGAGTAAGTAAATAGTAAAACGAGAGTGGCACATGAAATGTTGGTAACGGAAGACTTACAGCTGGGAAATACTAGGAAATAAACTGGTAGAGCAATTTTCTGTTGAGAAAACAAGCAAAAGCGGAAGCAGTTCAGAAATGCTTAAAGAATTAGATTTTTAATAGCATATTAAAATTCTGAGGAATCGAAGGATCGATATAACCGGTAAACAACTATTCACCACAATGCCTAATAGTAATTAATGTTCAGCCCATCAAGATCCTCAATGGAATGATTTTGCCACTAGGATGAATTACTACAATAATCATATCGAGTAAAAATTATGGGCCAAACTAAAACAGTTGAGTTTTGTTGATAAAAATGTCCTGATAGACGAGAATATTTCATGTGTAAAAGTGTGATAGGAGAGATCATATCACAACAGTAGTAATTAATATTTTATTACCAAAAAATTCCCTATTCGCTAGAGAAGGCCAGCTGTTGACATAGAAGGTAGAGCTGCAGCATCAGCAGCACGCAGCTTCTCTCATCGCCTCAACCCACCAAACTTATTTTCCACATTTCTCTTATTTCCTGGTTTCCTATCTATTCTTGAGCACGTTAAATTATCTCAGTTTCAGAGTCAAAAACAAACTCTGTAAGTGAAAAAGCTTCCTAATAGAGCTGTAGCATCGATGTAGGTCTGGTTCGTCAACACATCTCGATGCTGAGTGTGTGGCGCATCCCAGAGAGAAATCGATTACCGTTCTCCGTTTTTCCACTCCTTTTACATTGTTCAATCGCATAAAATTTGAGTTGTTCCTGAACGGTTTGTTATCAAGGTGTTATGTACAGAGGTGGTTTAGAGGCAAGTGGTGCACTACAATATACGAATGGTCGGAGTATTGATCCGAGATTGAGTCCCAGATCGACACTATCCTAGACTAACCAAACCTATTCCCCGTATTCGGTTAATCGGTACCAGACATAAATGGGAGGATAAGAACACTGATGGGCTTATCAGTTGACCACCGGATAAGTTGTAGAGGCCACCTACGCACTCAAACCATCACTACGATTCTCAATGGAAGTTGATGTTGGGCGCAATCCCAAATCGGGGTTGATCTACACAAACAAATTTTATTGTTTCACTCTTTATCAACAAGATTCATCGATGGCACCAGCCAGCCCTATCCTCTTTTTTGATGAAATCAAATTGAAAGAAAAATTCCCAGACGGCTTTAACTGGGAACACCTTACAGGAATTTGCATGGGAACCCATAGGCGCTCAATTTCTCACAGACCTTCGCTAATTCGATCCTTCACGATTTATAGGCGTTCGGAAGCCACATCAATGTTTCTACAACTTTATTTTTCGTAAAAGGAATTTTACAATACGAAGTATTCATCAAAGTAATCCTCCGTGTCACATAATACTCATTATTCCTGTAGACGGCAGAATGAGCCACAACTCATTGAGAAAACTAAAAATGTTCCGTAAAGGAAAGAACGAGGTCCGGGCATATTCTCAGCAGAGGTAGTTTGATGGATAGGAGCATTGAAGATTGGTCGTCACCATTCGGGATTAAAGCTCAACCAAGGCAACTCAACGTTTGGGTGAATTGACTGGAAGCAACCCTGTCTGGAGGAAGGAGGAAACTGAATTTATCTTTGACTGGCTGACATTATCGATTGTAGATCCAATGAACCTTCGCGATTTTGAATGAGAGTAGAGTGCATGGCGTAAACCGAGAATGCCCGTTTCGTTCTTTCAATTACTCCAGACTAGATTAACAACAAATGAACGAATCACAAATCAAATTGTTTCAAAAACACTCCCTTTGCTAACGAAGAAAGATTAAGCGTTGACATCAAATCACAAACTACTAGGTAATTTCTACGTTTTTCAGCGAGGTCAATGAAGGAGGCGATTGATAAGAGGATATTGGCGAGCTTCTCAGTACCCAAAGCTGGACCAAGTTCATTCAATAGACACTGAAAACTGTTATAAAGTACGAGATCGCTTTGAAAAAAAAAACAGAAAAAACGGGCATTGTGGCTTGACTGACCCCTTCCGTTTTACTCTGATCTTTTTCGCATTGGATATTAAAAGAAATCAAATAGGATCATGAAAGTAAAAAGGGAAGGCCATATGAATGCGATGACTGGTTTAAAAAAAGCACAACCGACCTTTCTCAGTATAAAAATAAGCCGTTCGCGCTCGAGGTCGATCTCCGAGCGGCCAGTGGGTGTCAGTTCGAGATTATCTGTTGAAAAATACATCAATTAGCGGTAGAAATATCCAGAAAAAGGATAAAGATCGTTCTACACGAAAGTTCATTTGAATTAAATTGTAACCAGTTTCTGTTGAGCGTGAACATTGTTTGTAAAAACTTTGCGTAGTGAAAATAAAAGTTTTGAGAATTTGGCAGTTTTTGTTTGAACGAAGGGAAACTTGGTGTGAAGGCAAGTATCAGCTGCGATCCAAAACAAAGGCAAGGGATCAGGCAGGAAGAAAATGTTGGAAAAATTAAATAATAGTTTTAGATAACCTAAATTTAACAAAGGCATTACTTCTAAGTTATTCTGCTCTGCCAACAGTTTTCGCGCTCTAATTGTTACGATAACTAATCATGTCGATGAAAATTTGGAAAAAAAAATTTAGTCTCACTTGGACTAAATAGTAAGATCGCCTTGAAAAGAGCAAACTGTTCTATGGTCATCGATAGGGAACGTATGATGGCAACTGGACGACCGTACGTTTCTCGATAGTACTTCTCGAATTGATGACACCTAAAAATTACTAGTAGGAGAGTTAAAGTCGGTTACTATGAGGACAACTCATTAATTTACGCGACAGCTCCAAAAACCACGTAAAAAGGTTGTTGTGAATCTGAATTGGAAGTTGGGGCTCCCAGATTTCATCTCAAAGAAGTACCATACACGGGATGTGGTACCTTTTCCCCGAAAATCACGTTGCGCTCGCCGCACCCGGCGCGTAATGCCGAAGTGCGATATATGATTGGAGTTCGTAATCTTCGAGTCAGAGAGTCCCTTTGATTATTTACCGCTCCTGTTCGGAATCACCCCCAATGTAGTCATGAAAACCCTTTCAGGAGTCTGCCGATTGCCAGAGGTTTCTCGAATCGACAGAGGAAATCACAAACAAAACTTTGAACAAAATCGTCCGGACCCACACCTACTCGTACCTTTTTGAATCAACATTTAGGCTTGCCAGGATTTCGAGAACTTGGTCAATCTGGCCTCAAACAGGTTCGAAACAACTGAAGCTGTTGTGCCCATTTGTACCAACTCCCCTTTACTCCCCTCCCTCACTGGTACTTATTATTGTATCTAACCTATTCTGAAGTTTCAGCCGTAATGCATTGATACCATCCGGAAATGTGAGGCTCTCCTCCTTTTGGTCCAACGTGTAGAACGCTTGTGAAACGATCTGAATCATACCACCGGCATGTCCAAGAAGTGTTTGCTGCAAAAAAAANAAAAAAAACTGGTACAGTACTGGTACAAAAGAAAGGCAAAAAACTGTTCAGTAATGACGTGTCCGTCTATAGTAATCAGCTCCCAAGCTCGATTCTCGGTTAGGCCAGCTTCCCCACACTATCTGTAATCAGATTCTCAGAACGACTGCAACTCAACGAAGTACTAGTAAAGTTACGAGTTATACTATTCAGGAATAAAAGATGAAGTTTTTGATGTTGAGCGGCTGTGTGTGCATTTTTGCCCAGATCAGCAACTTGCTTCTAATAGAATTCGACATATCAAATCGAGCTCAGATACAAATTTTAAAATGGCCGGCGATCTCATCTTATATTTTACCTGTTGAAACATTTTGGTAACAATCGATCAATAATCAGAACAGCCGAAGCTCTGGTTGGATAGAGCGACAATCAAGCCACGATTCGATCCCCAGACCACAAGGGCGGGAATAGCCCGAAACGCAAAATGTTTTTACTACTTGTTTTTGCCCGATTTTGTCAATTCACTACACAACAAATTCAATCAAAAAACACAAAAATGCATGTTCACACCTGATCCCTTTCGCAAAGATTTGTAAAGCATTCAAATGTTTTTGCGTATTCGACAGCGAGAAAAAGATCAGCGACCATCCAGAATTTGATTGGATTCTCTTGGTAGAATGCGAACTGAGAACAGTCCAATACCTAAAGTTTCACATTTGTTGAAACGATATCTGGATATCACAGGAAAGGGGCATTACCTGATCAAACTTGTTCCGTCCAATTATGGGAGGCTTTTTGAGTATTGTCTTGAGGGTGGATTGACAAAAGATTGGATAATCCAATCGTCGGAGAAATTTAGCCGAATGCTCCCTGTGGACCTGAAACTCGACTTTTCCTCTATTCGGGGTCATGGTCCAGGACTGGTGGTACATAAGGGAGGTCTTTTGTGGGAGGTGTGGGTTCTAGCCGGGTGACGGTACTTCTCAACGAATTCCCGCGGCAATCGGCAGTGGTTCCGCGGTAGCTACCATATCCTTCCACTGGAAATTCCAACCTATGCCTTCATAGCGCGCGACTGTGCGCGAACGGATGCAGCGAGCAGCACGCGATTTTCGGGGAAAACTTACCACACCACAAGCAACTCTTCACTTACAATACGAGCTAGTCGCAGTAGCATCCAAATGAGCTACCAACTTAGAACTTGTCGTTTGTTAGTCTTCCTCGAAACTTGGATTGTTTGAGTACGACTGTCTCAGAGTTTACAGTGTGAATATAGAATATTGTGTAAATTTTCTCTTCTATTCTCGAGCTACCTGCCCTGGCTACGCCTATCGTAGACCCGTGCCTCCCCTAGATGCGACATGTGACTTACTACTTGGTGGCATTGCGACTACTATAAACTCATGACTCCGGCCCCACACGCGTATTGAGACCACCCTCAGTTGGTTGCACCAACGGTTAACCACAGAATCTAACCAGGGAGACTTTCTTCCTGTCAGGGGATCCTGCATAGAATCAATATGAGATGGCAGATGTCCTACCATACATTTCATGGGGGCCTTTCACAAGTTCTTAGTAGTGTGATAAAAATGGGACTGTAATTGAGGGTTCCATAAATACAACATAAATCAGCGCAGTAGAAAAAAAGTATTACTAGTTAAAACTCACCAAAGAACAAATGGTGTTTACAATTTCAAAGTCGCCAGAGCACCGTAAAGCATCCAACCGCGAGATATTGTTCGGATTTGAAGCAGACATTTCTCTCGTTTGAATTTCTGAAAAAGCAAAACATGGAAATTGATAAAGTTCAGTGCTGGAATATCCCCTTCGTGAAAGCTTTCTCGTTCTCTTTTTTCAAACGATTTTTATGAAGAAAGCCGACAATCACAAAAATAAATGGTCAAAAGCTGTCAGTCAGTTGAATCACATTGTTTACTGCCATGGAACGTAAAAGTAAGGAACCGGCAGCCCTACTATTGGGCTGTACTATGCAGAGCTCCCAGCCCACGTAACCTGAGTCCCTGAACGTACCTTTGCTCGAGGAACACTGTTCCGGAGAACCGACTTCCGACACTGTTCCGGCTTCACTTTCGCCTGATGGTGTAGTATCATCGCTTCGACTCGGAAATTGTATACCTAAAAAAGAATTCCGGTTATGCAAAAATTAGCATTTTTGCCAAATGTATCACACAGATGGGCGGTCAAAAAAGAATGGGTTTTTCAAGAAAATAGGGCTTGACGACTTTTTTTTGGACTTTAGTAAAAAAGATTCAAAAATTTTTGGAAGGCCTCATTGACTGGAAGCGATTAACTGCCTCATCGATCTGGAGCACATAAGGAATGTTTTGAATGAGCCCAGCACAAAAAGCGGTGTATGTCACGGCGATGCACTCGTCTCCCATTTAGGGTGCAGTTGGATATAAATGAGTGTGGAAAGGTATCAGATAGGGTGTATGCAGTATATGGAGCGACGATAGCTACGGCGACTGCCGCGGAAGACAGAAGGATCAGGTATTCTTAAAAATATAACCAACCTTTTGCATTCATTCCTATCCGGATACATTTGGCGAATCGACAGGCCCTGCAGGCGCATCGGAAGTCTAAATGCATATTGAAGAGTAGTACAGTTCGTAGATCGATATAAATCGATACATATCCTGTGCATTGAGAAAGCCACAGTGTAGTAAGACCCATGGAACAGTAAGTTTTACAGCGCACCTTTATTGAATTGACATTTGCCACCTTTTGAGCAGATGAATTTCCGATTATTGATGATTGTACGACGAAAGAACGTCTTACATCCATTACAGCTCAGTACATCATAGTGGTAACCAGTAGGCTGAAATCGAAATTAGGGCCGATGGTTGTTTATTCTACTGAAGAACTAACTTTGTCACCACAAACTGCACACGAGTAAATGTTGCTTTTGCGAACATTGCGGAATTTTTTCACAACTGTTGTCGAGGAGGCTGGTGATACTGCCATCGATTGGTAACTGGTAGCAGGTTTTTGAGAATCCTGTAAACGTGTCTTCGAAATGTTACAAAATAAGCAGGACGAATTTTTATAGGACTACTCTAAATTATTACAAAATATCAATCGATAATGCACCATGCAGTAATTTTTCAAGTGTTCGGATCAGAAGGACGACTTAAAGGTAGAGGTCGCAAGGGGTATGTGCTGGACTGTTCGGTCCCGCCCAATTCCCTATTGGTGCCCATTGTACCCTAGAACCAATGAGGTGCAGATGGAAGTGGAGAGGACCGCCCACTTACAACAGAGAACTACGGCTTCAATAACGGCTTCTAAACCAATTCCATACTCTACAAAGTCTTAGGATTCCGATTTTCCTTTTGTGGGTTCTCTGGCCCACTCACATGACATCAATCTGCTTTCTCCCCTGGCTATGTGACTGTTTCTCTCAGGTCACATTCATTCTGTTTGTACTTATGGGGAGCTAAGTGAATTTTTTATTTCTGAGGCAAATCGTGAATGTACTGCGGAGATGGTGTAATGGCAAGTGGCTCACAGTCACACGCGCATGGCTCACGAATCGAATCTCAGATCAATATCCGCCCAGGCCAACGAAGCCGTCCCATCTTGCCGGCTGGCCGCCGTAAGCCACAATGTAGGCGACATACCCATTTATGCTAACCCTCCAATCCTGATCGAAAGTCGAATACTGGGCGCATCCCAAATTATCCATAATATGCGATAATTATCATAATTTTCTTCAATTTGTATACATACCGTAAGCTCTTCAATTCGATATTTCTCCATGGAGTTGGCAAGACTGACGGGACACGAATCAACATAAAGAATGCACGACATGGGGCTGAAGAAGAAAAAAGTTACGACAAAGGACTTCATTCACTTCAATCAACGGATCTAATGCTCGGAATGTTCGGACAAGTTTGGCAAAAAAGGGTAACTGAAGCGGTCGAAATAGTCTTCTAATGATGTTCATATAAGAAAAACTTAATCAGCTCAGAGAGAGTACGAGTAGACACCTTCGATAGAAGCTTCATGCACGTTTATTGCAAATTATGTATCCAGTTTAGTTGGTTACTCAAAGAAAGTGGCGCATACACAATCAATCGATAACTGAAAACTTTCCTTTCAGAAACACTTTTCCGAGGAAAGATCATTGTAAACCCAAGAAATTGCAAGTTACAAGTGGAACAACTAGTGAAGGCCTGGGGAGGAAAAGGGATATTGCTATGGCAAATGAAGCCGTATGTTGCTGGGGTTGCCAGATCGAAACTTGGCCAGGTCTACTTCTAAATGAGACAGTTATTTGACAGATGGCTTGCCTAGGAAGATACACTACCAGCTAAATAAGCGACTAGTTACTGTACACAACAACTTCTGCCTTCAGGTGCTTCTCACATTCCCAACATCAGTGGATTCTACGACCCGACCTAGAGAGGATCATCAACGCGGAGACCTTCACTTTTTTCAGATGAAATAGAAAGAAAATCAGGTCATATTGCATGTGGCCGTTCCATATAGGTCTTGGGCAATTTCCCGATCGGAGTGAGACGTCTGCGTAACGAGCGACAAAAGGCTGCCACCCAAAAACAGATGCCAATTGCAGTTGTTGCTTAAAAACAGGTTGTTCTATTTCGACTCCAGTCGAGTCCATTAAGAGGGCATTTCTAACAAGGAACTGCAAGCTATGGAATACTGCCCTACAGAAATTCGCTAAACAAGTACGATCAAAAGTAAGAAAGCCACAACAATCACAATTACAACGTAACTGAATACCTGAACCAAGTAGTGGACCTGATGAGTGTAGTACCAGACGGAGATGGCGCCGTAGCTCGAGACAGCATCTCGCACTTTGGTGATCCAAATCGTCTTAAGCTAAGCAGGCCTTACTCGGCTAATCCCCACATATCAGCCTTGCTTAGAAGGAAAGGGGAGAGAAGAGGATGTCAAGACGTTGGCCGCCCCCAGTCATCCTCGCCGANAAGTCAGCTCGAGCCTACGAGCCGCTCTCGTCGGCTAGCAGAACAGGTCGGTTAATCGTGCAGGACCCTTCCGTTCAAGCAAATCTCCTGACACTGGGAAATGATTGCTATCCTATGAAGACGAGGGCAAGCGGGGACTCGGTAGTGTAAAGGGCAGAGCACGCTGCCCCGAAAGCACAAGTGCGGGTTCGACTTCCGTCCGAGACTGAAGTTTTGTCCACAAATCGCCAACCATGTGAGACTTTCGGAAGGCGCACTGCGGCGAAATAACAGCAGTTAACGAAACAACAAGTCAAAAATGATTGCTATACTGTTGCTTCAAAGAATTAGTTTGGGCTACTAAGTAAGATCTGATGAAGCAGAGAGTAACCCACATTTATGGAAGTTTCAGTGAAAATGAAAAGAAAAGAATAACAAAAGATGAAGATTCAGTATTCTATCAGGTAAATACTTATGAAAGTTGTACATTCTAAATTACTGCGGTGTTCCCATGTAGGCAAAACACGGTGCCACCCAACAGAGTAATTTGACGAACGTGAACTTTGCACGGATAGCAGAAAAATGAACGAACAAAGTTAAAATCATTGGAGATGGCGCATGGATGGAATCGAAGCTGATTACTGAATGTAATCCTTCATGGAATATTCCAGAGAGTACACTTTTTGTATACTCTTAGCAAAGCGCTGTAAATGATGAATTCTTAGAGTTCCACGAGTTGTCCGGCTCTCAGCCAGGAGAAGCCGATGTAGGATAATCCGTCTTGAGCAGTCGAGTAGGCGGGCGTACGGAATAAATTATCTCCTTCATGAATACTAGCAATCATCTGTATATGGCTTCATAGAATTTGTTCTGCAAAGAATGAAATCCGTTCCATTCCGCTATCATGGTTACCACCAAAGGAGGTGAACTGAGCGTATGGGCGGGATCCGTGGGACCTTCGCGCACTCTCTATTGGTGCCTCATCTGGGGCACCGACAGGAACGGGGGGCGCGCGATTCACGCGTGACCCTATTAGAGCTCTTGGCGCACGTTGCATCGTTTCAGTACCTTTCTGTTGAGATGGACCAAATAAATTTGCAGTAGTCCACGGCTTCACCATAAATAGAGCGAATCTTTTTACTATGGCAGAAAAGCCCCTTCGTAATTGAGAATTCACCTCATAGGTCTACAATTCACTTNAAATTTTTTGACCTAGTAAACGCAGTCCTTCTGTAAACGCGCATAGTTGTTCATTTCTTTACTTATTCTACTTATAAGTTCTTATTTCTTCCGTTATCATGGTAGGCATGGTGTTTTAGCGCATTTTGTCCGATTGTCTCATTTTATTGACGCGTGAATCGCACCACACCCCCGACAGGACTGGAGGAAGGTTGAAACCCGCATTCAGGGTTCCCTACATACCGTTCCCTTCAATATTAATGCAGTATAATAATTAGATCGTTTTCACCTTTTCAGTTCGATAGTTGGTCGCTTTAATGCTCGTTTCCAACAATCACTTCCCCTCTGAGCGGGTGTGGTGCAGTAGGGTCGAGATTGTCGCGTGGCGGCAAGAGGGACGCCGTGCGCGAGGGAATGCAAAATGCAGCAGCAACTAATAAGTACAGGAACAAAAGAACTAACAGTAGAATCATGTCAAAAATAATAATCGCATATCGACTGAGTTGTACGAAGAACGCTAGAGCTGCAACAAAGAGGCAAATGGGCTGCGAATGCCTCGCGCGGCGAATCATTTACACAAAGCCGATTCAAGAGCCCGTCTCCTCTTCTCTTCTAATCCATTTGCCTGGACCTCTCTCCATATCCGGTTGTAAAGCTTCTTAGGGCCATCAATGCTCAGCTAGTCACTCTGGCTCTGAATATTACGTGAGCCAGTTGATCAATCAACAGGAAAATCGGCTCGAGTCAAAACTGTGGAGGTGTCAGGCTGACATGCTCGTTGCGTACATGGAACGGATTATGACATGTTTACACCGAGGAATACGCCTTTAGAAGCTTACAACAGGATAATGGCCTTCTCAATAACGTACACTTATGTGATATGACGTTTTCCGAAGATTACTCAAGTCCCCTATGACGGTATTGTTCGCTTCTGCCCACTTGTCGTCACTTCAGTCAATTGCCCTGATGGAAATCTCCAAGGTCGGCGGGCAGAGCCTATCATGTCGCCTGCCAGCCAGGAGCCTTCGCACCCTACAGAACAGACGGGGCCCTGACAAAAAAAGTGATGCCAGAAATAAACAATCACAAATAAGTGTTTCAATCGAGAAAAGACGAAACAACAATCGAAGCCTGCTTGTTCCACTTATCAGCCGTACTTACAATAACTTGACTTACTACTGCTCACAAATAGAGTACACTTAATGTACTGATCGAAGAAGATTACACAAAAAAAANAAAAAAAACTTGTCCGCAAGAGCCGTACCTATTAATAACCTGGCTTACTAATGTTCACAAATGGGGAACACTTAACGAACTTGTCAAAGAGGATTACACAAAAAAAAAACTTTTCCGGAAGAACTCAGCCATTGGATCGAAATAGATTTTTGGAAACGCTATCGCTATCATCCTTATGCACTACTGCTCCCCTACGAACTGTATGAATCACTGTTGGCTTGTTGCCAAGGCGACTTACAGTTTTAACAGAATCATTCGTGGAAAATGAAGGCTTCAGAAAGCTACAACAAGACATGTAGATTTGCACAAGGTGAGAGCAGTGGAGTTGTGGAAGGAATGATCCAGACAGTCATCTGGATCTGAAGGCCGCCACAGCAGCAGCGTTGTCTGATCTCTACGGTAATTTCCATGCAGCTGCTTTGGCATCTGAGAACAGCAATGGATTTCGGCTCCGGAAGGGATTTGACGATGACGTTAGCTTCAGCTTTTCTCCCAAATTAGTATAAGATATTGTGATTATCATAAGCTACATCACACATCAGTGCCAATCCTCAAACGATAACATCCTAACTAGATCATACCCATGAACGATGTATCCATAGTGACACTAATAAGGAAAATAACGCAAATTAACAGTTCACAAAAAATTACATTGAGCTATCATCACTATGGCAATAAGAATCCAAGGAGGAAGTGTATGCAGCAAGCTACATTCTTATTGATGCGATGCTGACGAGCCTGGCAGACTTCTCATTGGTAGGTTGACGAGTTAGGCGGGAACTCTCGGCAAATGAACCAATGAGAATGGTGCAGGGTTTAGTGAGGTGAGAACTTCAACAACAACAAAATAGAAATAAATAAATTA